GACACAGTATGGGCACTGGAGGAATGACTCACAGACGTTTGACAGCCTATAGGACAGGGAGCAGCCCAGGGAGAACAGGACCCTACTCTGCTGATGCCATTACTGTTCACAGAGATGGCAGTCCTTCGCTCATCCCTGGCTGTGCTGGGGCTGGGGATCCTGGGGGCTGCCTTCACCTGTGTCACCATCTTCAGCAATGAACTCTTCCCCACTGTGATCAGGTGAGGTTGTCACGGGCTGCCCCCAGGTCCCCATGGGTCTCCACCCTTCGTGATTCGTTGGGCCTCCCTCGATCTAGTGAGGCCAAGATTGTAGATAGGCAGAGTGTGACTCATAGGCAAACATGTTTCCACAGGATGACTGCAGTGGGCCTGGGCCAGGTGGCAGCCCGAGGGGGAGCCATGCTAGGGCCTTTGGTGCGGCTGCTGGATGTCTATGGGTCCTGGCTGCCCCTGCTGGTATACGGAGTGGTGCCAGTGATAAGTGGCCTAGCTGCACTGCTGCTGCCTGAGACCAAGAACTTGCCACTACCTGACACCATCCAAGACATCCAGAAACAGTGAGTGGAGCAGTCTGTGGACCATCTCCTCCCTCCCTCCCTCCCTCCCTCCCTCCCAGCTCTCCTCCCTCCATAGAAACCCAAAACAGGTTTGCCTGGGAACTCATCCTTCTCACTGAACAAAGGAAAAAGTAGAAGCCAAGAGAAGGCTAGGATGGCCCAGAGTTACACAGCACAGTGGGAGAGCAGAGACCAGGGCTAACAGGTGGACTTTAACTCTCTGCCCTCCATCCCACCATGTGGAGGAAAAAATGGCCCAGCCACTCCCAGGCCCACCTCGAAAGAGAGAGAGAGGTGGAGGGAGAGAGTACACGTGAGCGAGCTGGTGTTTGTCAGGGGGAGGTTCTGGGGGATGATGGGTGTTTCTGGGGGCTTCACAGGTGGCAGACTCTGCCACTAAAGCCATTGGGTAGTTGACATGATTGAACACCCCACCCCACCCTGATGTGCTCAGGAAGTTCAGACCTGAGCCCCAGGCAGGGTGCTTGGTCCTGAGCATGGACATGGGTCAAGAGTTAGGGGTCATTCTGCTCCTTAGAGCCACACTTCTCGGTCTTTCCTGAACAGGTCAGTGAAGAAAGTGACACATGACATGCCAGACAGCTCCATCCTGATGTCTACTCGGCTGTAGAAGGACCATGACCACAACACTGAGAGGAGAGAAGGGGGAGGGAGGGCTGGCGATGGCGGGTAAAGGTGCCTCCCTCCAGGTCTAACTGGAACCCACAAGACAGTAGGAAAGAACCGACTCTGCGAAGTTGTCCTCTGACCTCTGCATGGACACATGCCCCTCCCCCACTCCCACGATACACACAAATAAATAATTTTTAAAAGAATGAAAAGGAGGAAGAAGGGAGGAGAAGGAAGAAAGACAGAGGAAGAGAGGGGGACAAAGAGGGAATGAGGGAGGAGGAAGAGATAGCTTCTTCTAGCCCCTGCAGACAACCTTGGGAAGCAAAGAGCTCCATCTCCAGGGATCCCTTTAGAGGGCTGGCTGCCTTTCTGGGTCTCTCTCTAACACAGTCTGAAGGATGGAAGGCTGCCCTGACACCACTATTACCTTGACTCCCCCAAGCAGCTGCACACCAGAGAGAGGCCTAGACTAGGGGCACCTTCTCACTGCCCGCTACCCAACCTGCTGCAGGACTTGGAACTGAGTGCCCTCCTCTTTACCTCAGCACAGGCAAAGAAGTGTCTCGGGGTCACTGAGGGCCTCAGTCAGCTGGCCTGGTCTCTCTCCATCCTCTCTTCATTCCACATACCTGTCCACAACAGCCTAGGTCACCTTCCCACCTGACACCCTCCTAGGCCCTCCAGAACCAGCCCAGGGGCTTTGTTCCAGGGTTCAGGGACAGCCCATGACTCTGGTGCCACTGTGAGTCATGTTTAGGGCCACACACCTGCCACTCCTCCCCCTCTGTCAGGTAAGTTCCCTAAGGGTTACCTGTCCCTTGCTCCACATCCTCACTCACACATGGGGCCTGCTGGAGGAAATGGACTACAGGGATTGGCTAAAGATAAAAACCAAATGAATGACAGCCCCTCATGAGCTCCTGACGATCTAAGAGTCTGCAGGGTAGGAGAAAGGACTGGGGGCTCCCCACCAGATAGACTACTGAGGCCCATAACACACAGAGTGCTCCTAACACCCAGCTAGGAGGAGGCAGGATCAGAATGCAAGTATCTGCCTGTAGGTCTGCTGAGCTCTGCTCGGGCCTCTGTGCCATCTAGGCAGATAGAAATGCATGCAGCATGACCTCTGTCCCTCTCGGAATCAGCCAAGATTCTTTAGGATCCTTGGGGATGCTCATAGGAAAGACCATGAGTGTTCGGAGACAGTGTGCTGCCCAGAGGGTCAGGAGATAGCACACCAGCTGCACTGCCTGGGCCATACTTAGATGGTCTCTGTAGCTGTGTGGCTGCTCCCAGGCACCTCAGAGGAAGGCTGCAACAACAACAACACACACACACACACACACACACACACACACACTTCCTAGTGACACTCCCCCAGACTGCCTGATGCCTCAGGACAAACTGGTTCTGTTCCTCTAGGCCCAACTGCACTTCTTGGGGCTACAGGCTTCCTAGAAACTTCCAGGACGCAGAGCTCAGTGGAGAGGTGGATTCTCCTCTATTCTAGATCAGAGTTGTTCCTCCATCTGTATTCAGAATGGCCACCCCTGGCCTATACAGGTGACTGAGAATTTTCAGGATGAAGAGTTCTGTCATTGGGGAGTGGCAGCATCACTGTCTAGAGTCACTGGACAACACTCTAGGCTCCAGCTCATACCCATTTAGACACACCCTCTTTTTAATGCCTACTTTGGTGGTTTCTAACCTCAAAGCTGCTGAGATACTCCCACAGTGGAGGAGTCAAGAGAACCTTTTGGAAAGGTAAACTGAGTCAATAGCCACATCTAGAACTCTTTCTTTAGAAAATAAAGCCCTTGGGTGGCAGGTCTTCTGATGCAGAGAGGGAGACACAGTCACATGGCAACCAGGGTGATGAAGCCATCCTTTCAACTCCTAGAGTACATCCTGCCTCAGTCAGGGTCACCTAACAACTGCTGATGTGAGAGTAAAGGCATTCCTTCCAGGCTTGTCCCCACAGAACTCCTGCTGTGTTTTCTGTGACCAACGAAGCAGGTGGGAACAGGGGGTGGAGCCTGGGCTTTGAGAAGAGAACAAGAACACAGGTCTCAGGAGGGAGGCCATGACTAGCTGGGGACAGCACACCCGGGCAGTGCTGCCCCATGTCAAAGTTTCTTCCCCCCACTCCCACAGAAGAGTCAGTGTGATCCCTCCGGCTCCTAGACCAAAGCTGAGGGATGGCAAGCAGGGTTAAAAGCCAGTAGGTTCAGATGGCCAAAGAGAGGCCACACTCACAGAGAGCCACTCCTGCAGTCAGCACTCCAGGCTGGTGGCGTGCTACATAGCTGGGAAGCAGAGTGAAGAGGTGCAGGCAAAGTCACAGGACAGAGGAACAAGTCCTCAGAGGGGCTCGGTCACTGCTACACTTGAGGCCCTGAACTAGCCACCCTGGCCACTAGGAGAGACTACGTCCCTCCAAATATTGGGCAAGATGTCAGCTATCTGGTGGAACATGAGTGGAAGGTGCACAGCCTCAGAAAAGAGGGACGTGATGCCATGGGACCCCAGCCAGATGCCAATCCCCTCCCTCCCACACAAGCCACAGTTGTTTCCCACCCTCAGCCCCACCCAGCAGACACTTGCAAATGAGATATACAACAGTTGTCCAAGAGCCCAATGTTGTATTCAACTCAATAGTCTGGGGGTCTGGCTCAGGAAAACGGCTCAGTGATGGTGCAGTGGGCAGAGCCACTTATCATCAAGATGAAAACTTGTATCTCATCCTCAGGACCCACGTAGCGGAAACCGAGAACAGTAAGAAGTCCTCTATTAGCATACACATCTCCACACACTAAAATTAGAGGGAACTTAGCAACTGTCAGGTGCACCCACTGAGACCCTGAACACAGGCTAGGTCCCTGACCTAAGAGCACCCACCAGGAACAAACTACACAGGACTGTTGGAATTTGGAAAGTTTTTGTTTTGTTTTTCCCACACATTTCCGGGTTTGGGGTGTTTTCCAAGACTCAGACACATTTGTTAACAAAGAGAAAAAAAAAACTGGGGAGCAGGGAGCCCATGGGCGGAGAAGTGACCCCAGCCATCCGCAGACACAGTCTCACTCCCTCCATCCTCTGCACCTGCAGCTAGCTGGTGCCACAGACGCAGCTCTGGTACCTCGATTATTTGTTTTTAATATATATCTGCATTTGCCTTTCCCCTCCCCCCGCCCCCCACCCCCGCTCCTCCAGCGACTTCCCAGCAATGCACGTTGCCCGGCAGCAGCGACACACACAACAGGCCTTGGCCTGGTCCAAGTCCAATCCCTGGGCAGCCCCAGGCAGGAGTTTCTCCTCATGAGGGGACTTGGGGCACTAGGGGAATGAACCCTACTGCCCGGCCCCAGCCACCCAAGCTGGGCCGCTCTGGGTTCACCCGCCCACCCTTCTTCTCCCGGCGACTCTGTAAACCCAAAGGAAGGGAAGCAGAGAAAACAGAATTTAAAAGAAAAGAAGAAAAAGAAAAGAAGAAAAGAGAAAAGAAAGGAAGGAAAAGGAAAAGAAAAGAAAGGGGGTGGGGTGGAGGAGAGTAGGGACAAGAGACACAGCAAGCCTGAACCGGGACAGGAGGGCTGCGAAGAAGGAAGGCAGGAGGAAGAAGAAAATCGAGGGAAATAAACAAACGGCGCAGTGGACACTTTACAAAACCCCAGCCTTCCTTCCCGCCCAGCCCCACCAAAATAAAACTACCCCCCTTAAAAAAATAAATCAACCCAGGGCTGTGAGCACGTGCCCTGCGTGACAGGCGCAGAGCGGAGGACAGCCAGCCCCAGGGCTGACAGTGCGGCGCCGTGGGCAGCGGGAGGGACGGGGATGAGCACGTAGTAGTTATATTCCTTTTCTTTTTTGCGTTTCCTCTTCGTGGGAGAAGCCTGAGGCAGCCGGGGAAAGGGTCCCCAGATCCCCCTGAAGGGAGAGGGCCGCACCCTCCTCCCTCCCGGGAGGAGCAGCTGGCAGTGGGGGCGCGGTGCCTGGCCTGGGTGCTCAGACGTAATACTCTTTGTCTTTGTTCTTCTTGGCCTTGCTTGGCGTCTTGGGGGCAGCGGGGGCCTTCTCCTTCACCACCGCCCCATTGCTCTGGGCCGAGTTACTGATGTAATTCCGGCTCTGGTCCACCTGGTAGGAGCCCTCGTCGCGGTTGCGGTACTTGTACATGGCGTAGAGGAGGATGAGGATGCAGAGCGCCGCCGCCGCCACGATGCCCACCACCATGCCCGTGGTGCTGCTGGATTCGCGGATCACCTCCACCGCGCCCGGCGGGCCGCGCTCCCCCGGACCCGTGGGGTTGGCTGTGGGCAGACGGGGGAAACCGGGGGCTGAGGTCACGCCGGGGCGCAGGGGAGGCGGCCGCCGCGGCTCGAAGGCCGTGGGGACCCCAGGCCCCAGGGGTGGGTTCTCCAGCAGCGGCTGCAGAGGGTCTCGGTGGTTCATTTTGCCCGCGGGCAGGTTGGGGGCTGGGGCGGAGGGCGCAAATAGCACCCCGGGGGCGCCCGTGGCCCCATCTGTCCTGAGGTTGGGTCGGGGCGCGGGCTTGCGGGGTGACAGGAGGGTGGTGCGGTCCGTGACCAAGGGGAAGGTGGTGTAAAAGTCCTCGTCGTCCGTGGGGGGGAGGCTGGAGTCAAAGACCTCCCCAGAGGCGAAGCCCGAGGCTTCCACGGGCTCCTCGCAGTCGCTGTCGTCGCGCTCGGCCTGACACGGGCCCCCCGAGGACGGGCGGCGCGCGGCGGGCGGAGGCAGGGTGTCTTGGGTGGCACCCACGCCCGTGAGAAAGGGGTAGAAGGTGGGGGGCGGGGGCACGAAGGGGGACCGGGTGGCCACGGGAGGGGGGTCTAAGGAGTCCTCCGTGATAATGGGCAATATTAACTCTCCTCCTAGAAAAAGAAAGAGAAGAGAGAAGAGAGGGCGTCAGCGAGGGCCGGGGCGCGGGCGGCCGGCACAGAGAGAGAAACAACAGCCTCACACCCAAATCGGTTCAATTGGCTTTGGCGGAGACTACGCGGGCCGGGCCCGCCCGCCAGCCGGCCAGCGCCTGCGCTTTAAGCGGGCTGCGGCTCGGATGCCCTGGGCACCCCACGCGCGGGCTCTGTGACTCTGGGTTTTGGTCTTTTTGTTTCGTCTTAAGAAACCAAACGGAACAGAAAGGAAAGGAAATTGAAAAGAAACGGAATTTTTTTCTACTGGTTTAAAGCTTTAAAAACATACAACAGCAGCATTTAAACAAACCTAACAACAATATCTTTTAGGGTTTTTTTTATATATATATCTTTTTTGCTTTTTTTTTTTGCTTTTGTTTTTAAAAAAGAAGATAGCATACCACGGAATTCAGGCAACTTACATCAACAAATAGGCCGTGTGATTTTAGCATGAAGAAAAGAATTACAAACAGAGCTGTGTAAGCGGGTTCTCCCGAAAAAAATAAAAAAATAAAAAAAAAACAATTTTCCGCACAACGCTCTCTGTCTATCTGTTCGGCATCTCCCTCCCTGATTGACTCCCTGGACAGCCTGCTTCCTCCAGAAAGCTCGCTCTCCTCCCTCTCTCGAGCCCTCTTCCCCCTCATGAGACACGAGGCTGACATTTGCACAGTGCGTGCGGGTTGGGTCTGGGGAGGTGGTACCATTCAGTGACATCGTGGGAACAGGAAGGGTCAGTGAAGAGGCCACGGAAAGGAGAGAAGATGGCATGCCTATGTGGGTATGAACTCTCGGGGACGGGGCTGGCCATGGAAAGGACCCTGGGGCTAATTCCAGTGGTCCATCAGAGGAACCTGTCAACGGGAATGCTTGTGTGGAACAGTGGGCAGGGAAGGTCAGACACACTGGAGCTGGGCTTTGTCTCTTAGGATTCTGGGAAGTGGTGAAAAGCTCAGAAGATGCATGGGGGTGGGGAGGATTGGGAATGAGTGCGGGAGGACGGAGAGTGAGGGCGGAGGTCACGTGATTACTGAGCTAAACCTCTCTCTACTTTCTTCACCCTCCACCTCTGACCCCCACTGACTTCCCCCCACCCCCTCCCCAGAACCCCCATGGACCGCCAGAACCTGGCCAGGTTATGACTGTCTCTGGCCCTCTTATTATTGTTAAAACAATAATAAAACAACGGAAAGAAGGAGAAAGCAAAAAAAGAAAAGAAAATACATACACAGCCATCTGGGAGGGACGCGCTAGCTAAAATAGGGCCCAGGATAACTAATTGGGAAGGCCTGTGGTAAGGGAGTGAGTATTGTCTTCTCTTTTAGTCTGATAATTCGAATATCTTGGGCAGAAACTGCAATTCCTATGAGCTCCCTGTGGGCGGGAACTATAGGTTCCATTAGCGCTTCAGGGGGTGCGAACTACAACTCCCATCTGTCTCTGGGTCAACAACTACAACTCCCATCAGCCTCCTGGGCCTCTTCACTATCCAAAGCGCAGCAAGCCTCTGACCTCTAGAGTAGATAGAAGCGGAGTAAGCAAGCTCTAGGTTGGAAGGAGGGCTCAAACTCTGGCTTTGGAGGTTGCCTCTGGCCCTTTCCTGTATGGCTCTACCTAGAGCTCAATCCCTACCTGAGCACTTCACTTGGTGTTTGCACCCACAGTCTTCCACCCCTCTCTCATAATCATTCCAGAGCTTTCCGCTAGCAGATCTGGCAGCCAGGCCAAGTCTCACATCCACAGCCTTCTCTGCTCTGCCTACTCCAGCCTTCAGGTTAGCTTAACTTCTCATACACCTCTATTGAACGTTTCCTCCAGCAACTCCATCCATCTCACCGAGGCCACAGCAAAGCCTTGCCACTGAATGAGAAACATTACCAAGCTCCTCAAGCGTACTTCCCATCAGGTTCCCTTACACCAGGAAGTTTAGAGTCCAAGAGTTCCTAGCCCTCTGCAGATTTAGCCATATGAAATGTTTACCCAAGAACAGAGAATGTTTTGTGCAGCCAGGATTGCCCAATTCCACTGACGGAAGCCAGAACTTCATGGATTCCAGGCTCGCTCTGGCTCTCCCAGGCTCGCTCTGGCTCTCCCAGGCTCGCTCTGGCTCTCCCGATGATAGATCCCAACCCTTAACCCCAGCTTCTAGTGAATGAGAATATTGAGGCCGAGAAAGGGCAGATCTTCCAAGTGAGGTAAATGAATGAATTGGTCGGTTCCTTCTGTGACTCCCTGATGCTAGGAAAGCCTAGACTATCAATCACCCTTGTGCCTCTAGGATGCTGGCAAGGCTGCTCACCCGAGAATCCAACCTGGAGGCTACATGTATATCAACTGAATTCCTGTGACTACAGACATGTCGTGGCCCCATTGGGCCCCAGTCCTCCTCTATAAATCTAGAATATTGTCATGCATTGTGGCACATACTTGTGATTCCAGCACTCAGGAGGTGGAGGCAGGAAGATCAGTTCAAGGTCATCTTCAACTACATAGTAAGTTCTGGCCAGCCTAGGGTATGTGAGACTGTCTCAAATAACCAAAATACATAAACTAAGGAAGTGAGCTTCTGGCCCAGTTAAGCTTGGCAATGCTTCATTCCCATCCTGGCCTGGCCTGGCTCCTACCCTCTACCAGCCCTGCCTTCACTTTTTCTATCACAGACTGAACCATGTTCCTCCCATTGCCAATGTCCTCACCCCTGCACAGGGACAAACTGCTTACAGGAAAGCTTGTGGCCCTTCCAGTAGTAACAGCGTGGGCCTCATAGCAGGACCTCCTCCCTGCATGAGTTCTGAGCTCCTCTAGTCCCTTCTGCCCATCCACCTCTTGTCTCCTGACCTTTGCCCTCTATTCAGAACAGGCTCTCTATGGATAGCTCACACATGCTCAGAACCAGCCAATACCTCATTCTCCAGGCTGACCCCAGAAGATGCCCGCTACTCCTGGTGCCTCTGACACCATCTTCCTACTCTTGGAGGCTCAAGTTTGACTCACTGCCAGGGCAGGCCCACAGGCCTGAGCCCCATCTGTCGATCTTACTAGCAGCCAGGAGCAGGCCTGGCACAGAGCTCTTCAAGGGGAAGTGAACAACAAGTCCCCTAGCAAGTCCCTCTGAAGTGGGCCAGGTACGTGGGGAAGCACAGAGCACCTTTTACAGGCTGAGTTTAGACAGCCTTGCCCCACCTTCTTGGGCAACAGGCACTGCTGAGAGCTACGCCTGGCAGTCTTTCCTCCATGTCCTCAGGCCTGCCTTCTACCCTCTAAAAGCCTGCCACCTTTTGCATCTTAGACTGAGTTACCAGTGCCCTGAGGAACTCCAGGGTCGAAGTTTTCCCTAACCCAACTTGTGATCTTCAGCCAGCTGGTCATCACTAGGGACACAGTGAAGTCTCATGAATACAGCTCATGAGAACAACCAGGGCACAGATTTTGGCTCTGTACCAACCTGCTGCCTCCAGCTGGGTGAGGGCAGATGGTGGGTTCAGACCTGGACCACACATATCCTGCCCTACCCGTGCAGCTTCTACAACACTAGTCCTTGGGACACACGGGTGTTCTAGATCACCATCCTCCAGGCCCCACAGCCCGCCCTGACTCCCTTCCAGATCTCAGCCCTTATCCCTTCACTCCTCATCCCTGGAGGCTCTCCTAGCTTGTCTCTACCCATGCTCTGCGGCCATATCTCCCATGATTCCACCAATGTGCTCTTTGCATAGAAGCATCTTTCTCTGATACTAGTTCCTCTGTGTGCCCGATACCCCCACACAAACTTCTTCCAAAGTGATAGACCGTGGAGAATCTCACATGGCTTCCCCGCACCACCCTGGCTTGGACTATGGGGCACTGGAGTCATCAATGTATGAGCTTCCCTGGGGCACTGGCCCAGGAAGGATCTAGAAAACTCTACTGGGAAGGAGTCAGCAGGGCCTGAGCAAGGGGGACGCCCCAGAGGCTTCTGGTCCTACAGCTGGTCTTCCCACTAGGCTTTTGAGTAAGGGGAACACTCAAGGTGACTCATGATGTTGGGGGGTCTGTGATCAGCTCTGTATCACTGGGAGACAAATGGGAGACTGTGGCCCCTGAAGCCATACCAGACTCTGATGAGGACCCTAGGCAGCCCCTCTCTCACATCTGGCATCTGCAGGAGTTGTGAAATACAGGTGTACACTTATCAGAGCCACAGCCCACTCACCTCTGCTCATGGAACACTTCAATGTACATTGATTGGGTCCACTGGCCAGAGAAGTCCACCTGACTGAACACTACGAGCCATTCCCAAGCAGCTCTACCGTCTCAACTCTTCCCTCTCTAGGGCATCCACACAAAGTAAGCCGGGCCCTTTGAATCTTCAAGGCGCAGGAACCTTGATTAGAACCCTATCCACGAAGCTCTGTGAAGTGGCTCGTACCTGTCAATTTCATTCCTCAGGAGGCTGAGGCAGGGGCATCACCATGAATCATGGGAGTCTGATGTTAGCGTGGGCTACAGAGTCTGACCCTGTCTTTAAAAAAAATAAGTCTACCTATAAACCCTAACTTCTATCCAGTCAGAACATGTCTACCCCACAGCAGAATCTGAAACTGAGGTTCTGAGTGACCCAGGCTAAGCCACCTGCTGGCATAGAGCCCATCCACCACTGTGGAGGGCTCTACCCAAACTGGGAGGGGCAAGAACATTAGCATTTCAGTGGGTTAGGGGAAAAGGCAGCTCATACCTGAAAACATCCCTGTAGGTCATGACTTACCAAGCCACATGCCCACAATATTGATAAAAGCAGCCCAACTCAGGGCCCAGGATACACTACTAAGCGAACAGAACACTGGCTAGATTTCATCCCTACTCACCTGCTGGAGCAGAGAAGAATGCCACTGTGGGCTGTAGCCTGAAGGATGGTATCCCTCCGCACCTGTAACACCAGCTTGGCAAGGGCGGAGGCCACAGTGGTTTCATGGTCAGAGACAGTGAGCTACTCAATAGGAGGATGTGTACACATGTTTATGAGCACACACACTCAAATGCAGACCCCCTATGAGGGTTTGTGTTTCTATACTCATAAGCATAAATTCCTAAGCACAGTAGCCTTCATGGATCTGAGATGCCTGGAAGCATATCAGGAAGTGTAAACAGATGTGTACATGTGAGTGCGTCTCTCACACCTGCTGCCCATGAGTCTGAGGCATGTACTCTGTGTCCACACTGTGTGAATGTGTCCTTCCAAATGTGCAAGCAAAATGCCTTAGCTCTGAGCACAAACCATATATTACCCTATAAAATAAAGGCATTTCTTCTGAACCTTGACATCTGGACTATATTTCCCAGCATCCCTAGCAATTGAGTATGGCTCAATTGTTGAGTGTTAGGCCCTGTCCTGTCTCTAACAGCCTCCAGTGCTCCATCCTCCACACTCTTCTCCAACAGTGACCTTGGACATGCTGTGTTAAAAATGGAGGTGCCACAGATGGAAGGAAGGTGGATTACTAGCATGCCCTCTGGGCAGCGCCCAGGAATCGTACGTCTGAGTGAGGAAGTTCTCT